GACACTACTTTACAAACACAAGTCCTTAAAATGTCTTTCATTCAATATTTCAGATTCAAAAACTGCCGTTGTCGTTTTAAAAACTGTTTTCATATTGACAGACGTATCCGATGAAAAAGAGTTACGTCAGAGAAACAACAGAAGCACTTGTGCTTCAACATGTTCAAATATTTGTGCACACACATCAATCAGTTGTGTTTGTATTTTCTATAAAATGTTAGAATGGCAGGACAGTCGACTCTGACATATATAACCAAACACTAAGGGGTATCATAGAATGCAGCATGATGGAGGAAGAAGGATGACACTTACTTTACTTCGTTTGCACTCGTTAAACCAGTCACTCAGTCATTTTACTGACTAAGAACAGCTTCATCAATATATTCACCCATCAATAATCAGCACTCAGTCACAGAATCCGTTAATCAAGAAACTCTACATTACAATAAATGAATATTCATTCAAATTTGTCTTTGGGAGTTTTATTTGTTTATTTATTTTTTTATAAAAATAAATGAATAATAACAAATAACAAAAAGTAAGAATTTGGATCATAATTAGTTTGAAGAAGTTAATAAGTAATTATTCAGACTTGATTAAGCAGTAAGGACTGTTTTAATCAAATAGTTAAAATGTATCTAAATTGTTGCACGTGTCCCAAGAATTATTATTTTTTAAATTTAAGATAATTACTCCTTGATTAATACAGTAGTCTCTCGATACATCGCGGTTCGACTTTTAGGGACTCACTCTTTCACAGGTTTTACGATTGTACACAGCACACGATGGGCAACTTGGAAAGACAGACCCCATCCCTTGTTTCCTCCTTTCTCTTTCTGTGGCTGTCTGTCTACTTTGACAGACACCCTCAGAAAGAGAAAGGAGAGGCGGGAGGTCTGTCTTTCCCCATCGCTACTGCTCAGGGAGCAGGGATGAACAGATCAGATGAACAAATGTAGAATATCTGAGAAAATGTTTCGGTGGAAAAATAAGAGTCCATCAGTTTTAAAAAAGAAAGAGAGATAGTTCCTTTTAACTGTCATTTTGGTTGCCATTTTATTTTAATTTGTAAAAATAATATTAATAATAATAATAATTTGTGTGCCTCTTTTGATTGTCTATTGTTGCTGTTGTTATCCACTGCTGTCATCACTCTTTGTTAAAGAAATCAGGTCTCTCTTGTAAATGAGTCCCCGAGGCTCAATAAGATTAACCTGTATAAATAAGGTTGAATGAATGAGTGCGGTTCACTCAGGCATAAGACAGGTCCCCCTCCTTTCTCTCTCTGAGGCTGCCTGTCACAGCGTAGCAGGGACACACAACAGGAGGGCGTGCAACAGACAGACTCAGAAGAAGAAAGGTGGGGCAGGGGGGGGTCTGTCTTATACCTGAGTGAGCCACACAAGCGAAATGGATTGTTTATTTTAAATAATCAAGCTCGACCCGAACCAAGCCTTTAGTCCCCGTCAACAATCGCTGAGCGGGCCAGGCCACCGGGAAATGTCCCAGTGCTCCTGATGACCAGTCTACCCCCAGATTGGCTCTGTACTGTTGTCAATTATGTTTGTCAGTTTGATCATGTTAAATTATTACAAACTCTACAAGCAATTAAATTATATTTCATCCAGATGTTGACGGGGTCAGCAGGAAGGCAGCTGATGAGAATAGTCGGCGGGTGATAAGCAGTTCAAAACGTATCTCAAAGCCACGAAAACCCATTTTATCTTCTTTAATTTCTGTCTCTCTTTGACTTGGCTTTAACAAAACTTTTTCACGAGTAAAACACGTTTATCTTTTCTCAGGAGTAACGAAGACGACGGGCAACGAGAAACACGCACCAGGATGGGGCATGGCGAAAGACAGAACTGAACACGTCGCACAAAAGTGCAGCTTTTGTGTGACTTCAGCTCCGAGGACGGTGCCGGCATTTCCAAACTCTTTCCACTGTTTCTGATGCGCAACAATTCATTTCTGACCTCCAGAACTCTACAGAGTCGTGGCGACTTAAACCGAGTTCTTTCTGAAAACAAAGCAGAGAAAATATGTTGAAATATATTTAATATTTTGCATGATTTCATAATAATGATTGCAAATAAAAATCAACATCATTCATGTTTTAAGCATGACACAATCAACTAAACAAACTGCTGTCATGTCATGAATATGTTTTTATTTATCAAAAGCTTAAAAAACATTTAAGAGTTCATCAAACTGGGAGTGATGAAGTGTTTTTGAACAGCGAACGTGAAAACTGAAATTAAGTTAGAAAAGCTTTAAAAATGTCCAACTTCAAACAGACATTTTAAATATAATTCTGATTATACCTTCGGAGGCTGCTTTTGCAGATAATGGCTCAAAAATATCAACGGAACTAAGAGCAGTTCATCTGTGTGAATTTGTCTGTTTCCCTCCTTCTTTCAAATTTAAATTCCACATTTATTTAATTTACAATATCGTAAGAAAGGTGAATTATATGAATTGCTTTAAAAATAAATATGTAACTATATTTGATCCATTCTGCACGAGCTGTTAATTCCATTTACCTTAAAACGCACAAATAAGAACTTAAGATAAAATTGAAAACGTTAACTTGTTAAAGACGTGGGTGATCAAAGACGTATAAATAAGGAATAAAGATTAAAAAGTTCTTTGTCATAGATTCAGATATTGTGTTCAATTTTAAAAGATAATGTAATTTGAAGTTAAGTTGTTTTTGATTTCCTGTATGTCAGTTTGTTTTCCTCAGCAGTGAGTTTCACGTGCACGCCTCTGTTCCATTTGTTAATCATTCAACCTGCCCACCCTGACAAATCACCCAGTCTGGTCTAAATAAGATCCTGGGTTTCACGTGGTCTGCATCAGGTCGTTGGTTCTCAGTTTAACATTTTTATTTATTAAAAAGATTTCTAAACTCAGCTTGCATATTCTGAGAACGTGTCTGCTGTTTCAGCAACACGACATGAATCTCAGGGGAGGGTATCTGGACACCTACCCTTCCACAGTTTTGAAAAGAGCTTGTATGCCCTGATGAGGAATCTTTACTTTTAGTCATTATAAAAACAGAAGCCATGTCCATCATTTATAAAATGAAAACAACAAACTTATACCATTTAAAAATGATGCCACCTTCCGAGCAGCCACACAGTCCATTGTAGACGGGCTAAACACAATGCACAGAGGTGATGGGAGCTAGCATGTAAACTGCTGCCAGTACTCACATGTGACAGCTCCTTGTCAGTAGAGTGGTAGATGCATACTTATTTTTTAATTAATTGACACACACCCCTCCCCC